CAACCACAGTGGAAGATGGTGTGGCAATTTCTCAAAGGTCTAGAATTGGAAATACTATTTGACCCAGCAATTCTATTACTGGGTTTATACACAAAGGAATATAAATCATTCTATTACAAAGATACTTGCACATATATGTTCATTGCAGCACTATTCATAACAGCAAAGACATGGAATCAACCTAAATGCCCATCAATCATAGAATGGATAAAGAAAATGTGATACTTTATGTTCATTGCAGCACTGTTTACAATAGCAGAGACTTGGAACCAACCCAAATGCCCATCAATAATAGACTGGATAAAAAAAATGTGGCACATATACACCATGGAATACTATGCAGACATAAAAAAGGATAAGTTCATGTTCTTTGTAGGTACATGGATGAATCTGGAAACCATCATTCTCAGTGAACTGACACAAGAACAGAACACCAAACACCCCATGTTCTCACTCAGAAGTGGGTGTTGAACAATGAGAGCACATGGACACAGGGAGGGAACGTCACACACTGGGGTCTGTTGGGGGTTGGGGACTAGGGGAGGGATAGTGGGGATGGGGAGATTGGGGAGGGATAACATTAGGAAACATAATGTAGTTGATAGGGGATGGATGCAGCAAACCACCATGGCATGTGTATACCTATGTAACAATCCTGCAAGATCTGCACATGTACCCCAGAACTTAAAGTAAGATAAAATAAATAAAATATGATACACGCACACCATGGAATGCTATGCAGCCATAAAAAAGAACAAGATCATGTCCTTTGCACGGACATGGAGGAAGCTGGAAGCCATTATCCTCAGCAAACTAATGCAGGAACAGAAAACCAAACACCGCATGTTCTCACTTATAAGTGGGAGCTGAACAATGACAACACATAGACACAGGGAAAGAAACAACACACACTGGGATCTGTTGGGGGTTGGGTGCAGGATCAGAGAACATTAGGAAAAATAGCTAAAGCATGCTGGGCTTAATACCTAGGTGATGGGTTGATAGGTGCAGCAAATCACCATGGTACACATTTACCTTTGTAACAAACCTGTACATCCTGCACATGTACCCTAGAACCTAATATTAAAATAAAAAAACAACAAAAAATCCCTCTGCATAGCAAAAGAAGCAATCAACAAAGTGAAGAAACAACCCACAGTATGGGGAAATATATTTGCAAACTATCCATCTGACAGGAGATAAAGGAATAAACACACACACACACACACACACACACACACACACACACACACACAATCTATCTGTCTGTCTACTTATCTATCATCTATCTATCTATCTATCTATCTATCTATCTATCTATCTCTATCTAGGGAGCTCAAAGAACTCTATAGGAAAAAATCTAATATGAAATATGGGCAATAGATCTGAATAGACATTTCTCAAAGGAAGACATAAAAATGGCAAATGGATATATGAAAAAGTGCTCAACATCAGGAAATGCAAATTCGAAGTGCAATGAGATTATCATTCCACTGTAAGTAAAATGGCTTTTTTTGTAAACAGGTAATAGAGGTGTCATATGATATAGCTCCCTGACTGCTGGGTCTATAACCTAAAGAAAATCAGTATATCAAAGAGATAGCTCTACTTCCATATTTATTGCAATACTATTTCCAATTGCCATAATTTTTATTGTCACCTAAATTTTTTATCAATAAATGAATGGATAAAGAAAATGTGGTACATATTCACAATGAAACACTATTCAGCCATAAAAAGCAATGAGATCCTTTCACTGGCAACAACATGGATGGACTGGAGGTCACTATATGAATAAAATAAGCCAGGCATAGAAAGACAAACTTCACATATTCTCACTCACTGGTAGGATCTAATAATTACTCATGGAGATAGAAAGTAAAGGATGGCTAATGGATACAAAAAATAGAATAAATAAGATCTAGTATTCGATAGCACAACGATAGACAAGATTGTCTATAGTCAATAATAATTATTTGTACAGGTTGAAAGAACTAAAAGGGTATAACTGGATTGTTTGTAACACAAAGAATAAATATTTGAGGAGATAGCGCATTTTTCCTGATGTGATTATTATGCTCTGTATTCCTGTATCAAAGTATCTCATGTACTCCATAAACATATACACCTGCTATGTACCAATAAAAAATAAAAATAAAAGATAAATAATAACAGATAACTTTGCATACCAAGAGAAAGATATAAATATCCACATATAAGAAAGTCAAAGAATACCAAGAATATTCAACCTAAATGAGTTATTCCAAAGCACATAATCAAGTCTCAAAGGTCAAGGACAAAGAAAACATACTAATAGCAGGCAGCAAAAAGAAGCAAATAACATGTAAAGGAGCTCTGATACGTCTGGCAGCAGACATCTAGGATGTATCTTTACAGGCATAGGGAGAGTGAGATAACACATTCAAAGTGCTGAAGGAAAAAAATATCTTTTCATAAAGAATACTAGTCTCCAAGAAAGTTATATTTTAAACATGAAGGAGAAATAAAGACTTTCCCAGACAAAGAAAAGCTAAGGGATGTTATAAACATTAGACTTGTTGTACATGAAATGCTAAAAGGAGTCTTTCAGTCTGAAAGAAAGTATGCGAGTCTGTCACTAAAAATTATCTGAATGTATAAAGAGACTGGTAAAAGTGGTACACAGTCAAACTCAGAATATCCTTATACTGTAATTGTGGTATGTAAATGACTAATATCTATAGTAAGAAGACTAAAAAAAATCGATCAAAAACATTAGCTACAACAATTTGTTGAGAAAGACAGTATACAAATACATAGAGACAACAAAAAGTCAAAAAGTAGGAGGGATAGAGTTAAATTGTAGTTTTAAACTTTTTGCTTGTTCTGTTTTTCCTTTGTAATCAGAGTTAAGTTGTCATTATTCTAACATAACTAGATATAGAATTCTTTGGGTTCATCTTATTTGGGATATACTGGGCTTCATGAGTCTGGATTTCTATTTTTCTTCCTCATATTTGTTGAATTTTCAGCCATTATTTTTTTCAATATCTTTCTCCCTTCCTTCCTTCCTTCCTTCCT